AGCATGTGAATGGGGGGTGTGTCTTTGTGTGTGATTGAGAGAGTGTGTGCGTAAAGGGGGCTCTCCAGCAGTGTGTAAAGCATCTCCAGCAGAGTGTAAAGCCTCTCCGGTGTGTGTAAAGCCTCTCCGGTGTGTGTAAAGCCTCTCCGGTGTGTGTGAAGCGTCTCCGGTGTGTGTGAAGCCTCTCACTCTCCTCGACTCTTCATCATCATGTCTCTCCATCTCCTCCTCTTCTTCTTCCTCCAGCTCTTCAGCTCGTCTCTCCAGCAGTTCCCCCGAGTCTGCACCTCCCCAGAAGTCCTCCAGTCCAAACGCTGCTGTCCAGTCTGGCCCGGCGACGGCTCCGTGTGCGGCGTCCAGTCAGGTCGAGGGTTCTGTCAGGACGTCCTGGTGTCCGACCTTCCCAACGGGCCGCAGTATCCTCACTCAGGAGTGGACGATCGAGAGCGATGGCCTTTAGTGTTTTACAACCAAACCTGCCAGTGCGCCGGAAACTACATGGGGTTTGATTGCGGCGAATGCAAGTTCGGCTTCTTCGGTGCCAACTGCGCAGAGAGACGCGAGTCTGTGCGCAGAAATATATTCCAGCTGTCCACTACCGAGAGGCAGAGGTTCATCTCGTACCTAAATCTGGCCAAAACCACCATAAGCCCCGATTATATGATCGTAACAGGAACGTACGCGCAGATGAACAACGGCTCCACGCCAATGTTCGCCAACATCAGTGTGTACGATTTATTCGTGTGGATGCATTATTACGTGTCCCGGGACGCTCTGCTCGGTGGGCCTGGGAATGTGTGGGCTGATATTGATTTTGCGCATGAGTCGGCGGCGTTTCTGCCTTGGCATCGGGTGTATCTGCTGTTTTGGGAGCATGAGATCCGGAAGCTGACGGGAGACTTTAACTTCACCATCCCGTACTGGGACTGGCGGGACGCGCAGGACTGTCAGGTGTGCACGGATGAGCTGATGGGGGCGCGCAGCAGCCTCAACCGCAGCCTGATCAGCCCCTCCTCTGTGTTCTCATCCTGGAAGGTAAAGCAGACTTTTATTTGACTTTTTTTAAAACAAGAATGTTAGTTCTAGGGGCGGTATGGTGGCTCAGTGGTTATCCCTATCGCTTCACAGCAAGAAGGTCACTGGTTCAAGTCCAAGTTAAATTGGTTTGAGTTGAATTGGCTGTAGTGTATGAGTGTTTGTATGAGTGTGTGTGTGTGTGTGTGTGTGTGTGTGTGTGTGTGTGTGTGTGTGTGTGTGTGTGTGTGTGTGTATGTGGGAGTGTAGAGGGTATTTCCCAGTACTGGGTTGCAGCTGGAAGGGTCTCCGCTGTGTAAAACATGCCGGAACAGTTGGCGGTTCATTCCGCTGTGGAAAATGAATAAAGAAATGTTGGTTTTAGAACTGGGCAGCACGGTGGCACAGTGAGTAGCACAATAGCACAAGAAGGTCGCTGGTTCGAGCCAGTTGGCATTTCTGTGTGGAGTTTGCATGTTCTCCCTGTCCAAAAGCATGTGGGATAGGTGAATTAGGTAAGCTGAATTGGTCGTAGTGTATGTGTTTGAATGAGTGTCCCAGTGATGGGTTGCAGCTGGAAGGGTATCTGCTGTGTAAAACATGCCGGAACAGTTGGCGGTTCATTCCACTGTGGACAATGAATAAAGGAATGTTAGTTCTAGAACTGGGCAGCACGGTGGCGCAGTGGATAGCACAACTGCAAAAGAAGGTCACTGGTTCGAGCCTAGGCTTGGTCAGTTGGCATTTCTGTGTGGAGTTTGCATGTTCTCCCGTTTCAAAAGCATGTGGGATAGGTGAATTAGGTAAGCTGAATTGGTCGTAGTGTATGTGTGTGAATGAGTGTCCCAGTGATGGGTTGCAGCTGGAAGGGTATCTGCTTTGTAAAACATGCCGGAACAGTTAGCGGTTCATTCCGCTGTGGAAGATGAATAAAGGAATGTTAGTACTAGAAGTGGGCAGCACGGTGGCGCAGTGGGTAGCACAACTGCACAAGAAGGTCACTGGTTCGAGCCTATGGGTCAGTTGGCATTTCTGTGTGGAGTTTGCATGTTCTCCCCATTCAAAAACATGTGGTATAGGTGAATTGGGTAAGCTGAATTGGCCGTAGTGTATGTGTGTGAATGAGTGTCCCAGTGATGGGTTGCAGATGGAAGGACATCCGCTGCCTAAAACATATGCTGGACAAGTTGGCGGTTCATTCTGCTGTGATGACCCCTGATAAATAAGGGACTAATCGAAAGGAAAATGAATAAATGAATGTTTGTTCTAAAACAAGAAATAAGGCTATGTTTCAAGGGTTAGTTCACTTTAAAGTGTGTTGAAGAAAGATTACCTAAAAATGAACATTTACTTACTATTTATTCCCCCTCAAGTGGTTATAAACCTTTATGAGTTTCGTTCTTCTGCTGAACACAAAAGAAAATGTTTTTAAAAATGTTAGAAACCTGTAACCATTGACTTCAAAAAAAAAAAAAAACTACAAAAAATGATAAAAACCACTAAATTACTGAAACTAAAAATAAGTCAGTTACAAACAGATTTAAATTATTGTTAAAACTAAATGAATTAATAATGAAATAAAACTGTATAGATAAAAACCTGATAAAAATGACAAAAAGTTTGGCTGATTATTTGATTATTATTCAAAATATGAATAAACTGTAATAACATTTAAGAACTAAATAAACAAAAACATCTGCTAAACATGACCAGAAACAACAAAAAAATGTTTAAAAAAAATATGTACACTATAGTTCAAAATTTTGGGGTCAGTATTTTTTTTTTTTTTTATTTTTATTTTAAAGAAAATTATTCTGTTCATTAAGGCAGCATTTATTAAATGTAAAAAAGTAGTTATTTGTAAGTATTTATAAGTTCTTATGTATTAAATATTTATTTATTACATATTGTTTGTAGATTAAAATTAAATGATTACTCCAGTCATTATTGCTTTTATTACTATTATCATTGATAATAATAATAATGGGATACGCAGTGGCGCAGTAGGTAGTAATATTGCCTGACATCAAGAAAGTCGCTGGTTTGATTCTCGGCTAAGCTGGCGTTTTTGTGTGGAGTTTGCATGTTTTCTCTGCATTCGCGTGGGTTTCCTCCGGGTGCTCCGGTTTCCCCCACAGTCCAAAGACATGCGGTACAGGTGAATTGGGTGGGCTAAATTGTCCGTAGTGTATGAGTGTTTGTGAATGTGTGTGTGGATGTTTCCCAGAGATGGGTTGCGATTGAAAGGGCATCCGCTGCGTAAAAATGTGCTGGATAAGTTGGAGGTTCATTCCGCTGTGGCGACCCCGGATAAGGGACTAAGCCGACAAGAAAATGAATGAATGAATGAATAAATGAATAATAATAATAATAATAATAATAATAATAATAAATATTAGTGATATGTGACTCTGAAGACTGAAAATTCATCTTTAAAATCACTAAAAAAAATTATTAAATTAAATGATAAACTACTTTTGAACAGTTATTTTATAGAGCAATAACATTTCCCAATTTGACAATTTTTACTGTACATTTGATCAAATAAATGCTGTTTTGGTAAACAGGAGAATCTTTTTTTAAATAAGTATATGACTGATAAATCTACGTTGGGTGTACTCTACAATCACGAAATACAGTTTCACCACGAACACGACAACCTGATGATGAGTACGAATCAAAAAGCGACGCTCCACTGTCAAAATTACGTCACCGCTGTCACAGGCATTAATAAACAAGCGAGAGCCATCGATAACAACGGTGCAGGGCACTCGAGCTCAGGAAAACAAAGATTTTTGTTATTCCCTCTTTGAGAAATGTCCGCCATGAGCTGTAATAAAGGTGGAGACTTAATGGGGTTAATTTTCCCTGTGTTTCTTGGACATTTTACAGAATCTGAGCTGAGGATAGTGAGCATAATGCGAGTTAACGTTACAGGCAGCGAGCGCAGAATTTCTATGGGAATCACTTAAAGGTGTTTAACTATAGCATAACAATATAGCAACCTCTCTTAAAGCCAGATCCACCATTGATCTATTATGTAATGACGATATCAGCAAAAGGCAAGTTAAATATTTGAGGGTTTGTGCTTACCGGAGGTGTGTAATGTTAAACATTCATCTTATGAATCTAAATAAATAAATATTAATATGTAAAATATATATATTCCATATAAACTCCCAGACTTTTTTGGTCACATCCATAACACACGTTTATTTCCCTCATTTAAAATGTAAAAAAAAAAAGTTTACAGATGAATATTTTTCTGATATCATAACTCTGTAGTTAGTTGTTTTGCAAAACATAAACCGATGTTTCAATATAATGTTAACATATATACTTTCAATGTGAATTTATGTTTTGAGTTAACTGCAAATGTCACATCAATAATGCTGGAATTGCTCTTAATCTTTATTATGTACAACCATTTTCCTCTCTCATTGTTTTAGTGCAGCTCTATAAGAATAAAGCACATGGTCATTCCCCAGTGTGTCTGACTTAACAAAAGCAGCTGATTAGCGTATTTCTCAGCCATGTGATTGGGATTTGGTCAAATACCTCAGCTATAATGTCAGTTCGGTTCATTAAGCTGTGCTTCAGCGTCTCGCATTCCTCTGAGAGTCTGAAGGGTCGTCGTGTGACGCTGACTTTATAAAAGCGTGATTGTGTGACGTAGCCTCAAGCGCAGCGCTAGCCCGCTGACGCCTGACTAGCATTGAAGTTTTGGATGTAGTGGAGTCACGAGTGCGTCTGAACTCTAAAACCCGTATTAACTTTAGGAGATAATGAAGATCAACTGAGATGGAAAGCATATACTTATACTGTACTTACAATCACAGTTTTTATTAATGCCTTAATATTGGTGAACTACATTCATTAAAGGGATAGTTCATCTAAAGCTGAAAATTCTGTCATTATTCATTAGTGTACGTTTGTCACAAATCTGTTTGATGTAAAGAAACCTGTAACCAATAACATTCATAGTAGGAAAAACAAATATACTACCTAACAAAAGTATTGATGCCTATCCAAGTAGGAACAACAGAACTTGACTTCTAGTTGATCATTTGGTCTCAGAAGTGGCTTATATGAAAGGCAAAGGCCTCTCGATTACGCTTATTTTACCCAAATAAAATATAACCATGCCTTGATTTTTATTAATTTAATTAGGAAAGTCCATACATCTCTGCAATGACTCAAATCACTGATTAATAAAGTCATCTGGAATGGCAAAGAAAGCGTTCTTGCAGGACTCCCAGAGTTCATCAAGACTCTTTGGATTCATCTTCAATGCCTCCTCCTTCATCTTACCCCAGACGTGCTCAATAATGTTCATATCTGGTGACTGGGCTGGCCAATCCTGGAGCACCTTGACCTTCTTTGCTTGCAGGAGCTTTGATGTGGAGGCTGAAGTATGAAAAGGAGCGCTATCCTGCTGAAGAATTGTCCCTCTCCTGTGGTTTGTAATGTAATGGGCAGCACAAATGTCTTGATACCTCAGGCTGTTCCAGAGATCCACGCTGCAGATCTCTCAAACACCAGCATACTGAATGTAACCCCAAACCATTATTTTTCCTTCAACAAACTTGACTGATTTCTATGAGAATCTTGGGTCCATGCGGGTTCCAGTAGGTCATCTGCAGTATTTCAGATTGGGATGCAGTTCAACAGATGATAGATCAGAAAAATCCACCTTCTGCCACTTTTTCTAACGATCAACTAGAAGTCATGTTATTATTATATGTTGCTCTTACAACTGGGATCGACATCAAAACTTTTGTCAGGTAGTGTACAATGGAAGTCAAAAGGTACAGGTTTCTAACATTCTTCAAAATATCTTCTTTTGTGTTTGACAGAGGAAAGAAACCATTAAATGTTAGGATTTTATTGAGGGAGAGTAGAAAGTGATTACATTTTGGAGTGAACTGTCGATTTAACATGAATATTTCTGAGGCAAACATTATAATAAAAATAGTTTTAGATTTAATTCCAAAAACTTTCATTGAAATTGCACAATTTGT